TAAAATGACCGTCAGCAAAAAAAAAAAAAAAAAAAAAAAAAAAAAAAAATTTCCTTCGATTCTAATCTATTCAGAGAAAGAACAAAAACGTGACCTTAACTCAAAGTTAAACGAACTAAGTACTCTTAAAACCTGTATGCAAAATAGAGAAAATTACACCAATTCATCATAGTTACTTATAGGAATCAAGAAGTTGTTACCAAAATTGCAAATGCAATAAATAAAGGAAAAACCAAATGTAACAGAAAGTGTTAAAAAAGCACGCAGGAGAAATAAGATAAATATGGCAAAAGAACATTTTATTAAGAAAAATCAAAATTTTTGTCAACAAGATTTACCAACTAAAACATTTCAAAACTCATATCGACAAAACTGGTGTACGAAAGAACTAAGAAAATTGCGTAGTAAAACAAAAGCTCTAAGACGGAGAATAGAATCACAGATGTACGAAACAGAAAGAACAAGCGCATGGATCGCATAACTTTGACAGCGGCAGATATGCAAAAACAAAATCACTGAAGCCAAAACCCAAACATGGCAGAAGGTCTGCACTGATAATACTAACCATATGAGGTACTTTATATTAAAATAGCATACAAGAAAGTGCATCCAACCACGACTACAGATCAAAAAACACTGTGATGATAAATACCAGTACACAATAGAATAGAACAGCAAACTTCATTAAACTCCTGGATGCCATCTTTCTCAAAGACTTCCTAGGAAAAAATGAAAGAATGCAAAAAGATGCGAAAATATCCAATTAGAGATGTTCTATTTAACCTCCAAAGAATTACGGAGTTTAATAAATCAGCCCAATAAAAGGAAAAAAACAAAGGCTCAGGTACTATTAACAATGTTAAGATAATTCATAACGCAAATGAAAGAATTCTAAAACAACACAATAAATGGCTGGAAAGAGACATATTTCCAAGCTACCTCAAAACAGGTCATATGGTAAAAAAAAAGATAAAGAATTCGGAGTGCTATCATCAAATAGGGCAATTAATTTGCTGCCTGGATAGAGAAAGCACTAAAACGTTTAATAGCTGGAAGAATAAAGCTTCAGTTAAAGACAAATTTCATAGAAACAAATCAGTAAGGTGAGTGACGAAATTGCAACTTTCTCAACATAATAGATACCATAATCAAGCAAGTTAATAGTAATATGACTAACAAATAAGCGATTAAGTTACATATAAATGATTAATATGAATATGAAATTCAAGTCGCATTAAAATGACGGGTGTGGCTGGACTCAGCATTCGGATGAGAGGTTCCATGGGCTTTTGGTGGGTCGTGGCGCCTGGGAATGAGATGCGCGCTGGTTCGCGGCGCCTAGCGCTAATTTCTCATTGGTTCCCTGATCAGTGTCATTCCCGAACATTAGCTAGGTTCAGTGATACCTTAAACACCAATAGTATTGCAGTTGCTGGCCTAGCTTCCTGTTATGTTTTGTTATTAACTTTCAGTTCCACGTCTTTTAAAAACGCATATGGCCTTTTCAAGTTTCTCTCATATTTTTGATGAACAATTATGTCATCGATGCAAATAAAGGACCTTTTCCTCAGTCCTAGCGGCAGGATGATATATGTGGCTCGCAGAAAACTCTGCCTTATCGTACAATCCAAAAGGCAACGTAGGAAGACATACGTTCTCGATTTCGTTATGAAGGCGGTTTTATTTACGTAGGTTGTTTTTTTTTCAGCCTCCGATCGCACAGTATGATGGACAGGTATGCGGCAGGTGGTTGGTGACCGTAGTAGGTGACTGCGCATCTCCCCCTCCACACGCTCTGTCACTGTCGTATTCAACACGCCATTTTCTGTTGAGCTGCAGTCACGTAAACATGACTGTCGCTATTGATTCTCCCGCCAAGTGTGAATTGCGAGCTGTTATTCGTTTCTTGCAGGCAGAAGGGAACAGTGCAGCGGAAATTCATCGAAGAATGAGTCGAGTGTATGGAAACAGCTTTATGAGTGATGGCGTTGTTCGTGAATGGTGTCGAAAGTTTAAAGATGGCCGAACTGATGTGCATGATGAAGGGGGTCAAGGACGCAAGTCTGTCCCTACAGACGACATTGTTCCACGAGTTGACCAAGCGGTTAAGCAAAATCGAAGGTTCACCATAAGTGAATTATCGATGAAATTTCCGGAAGTTTCAAGATCTTTCCTGTACTCTATCGTTACTGAACAGTTGCGCTACAGAAAGGTTTGCGCTCTTTGGGTCCCACAGATGTTGACTGACGACCACAAAACTCGCCGAATGGTTGCAGCATTTGAGTTTCTTGACCGTTACAATACTGACGGAGAAGAGTTTTTGAAATCCATTGTGACCAGTGATGAGCCATAGGTTCAATATGACACGCCCGAAACGAAACGACTATCACAACTATGGATGCACACAAATTCTCCAAAGAGACCCACAAAATTCAAACGAACCTTTAACAACCGTAAAGTTATGGCAACTGTTTTTTTGGGACCAAAAAGGTGTGTTGCTTGTGGCGTTTATGCAGCCTGGAACAACAATTAATGCAGATTCATATTGTGAAACTTTGCGACGCTTACGGAAAGCTATTCAAAACAAAAGAAGAGACATGCTGACTTCTGGAATTGTTCTGATCCACGACAATGCCCTTCCTCACAGCGCTGGTGTAACCCAACGGCTCCTTCAGTCCCGACCTAGCGCCGAGTGACTTTCATCTGCCCCCTAAACTGAAGCAGTGGCTTGGTGGGAAGCGCTTCCAAAATGACGTGGAGCTGAAAGAAACCGTCACAACTCACTTCCAATCATTGGCGGACACATTTTATGAAGAGGGTATTGCAAAGCTTGTTCACAGATATGACAAATGTCTCAATCGTCAAAGTGATTATGTAGAGAAATAACCTGTATTGTACATTACTTTTGGTAATAAAATTTTTTTTGTATATTCACCCGTTTTTTCTTTATAGCCCATCGGAGATTGAAAAAAATAGCCCTCGTACATTTTCTAGCTTTACTAATATCTGAAAACATCTGGAAATTAGATTCAATGCTGTCATATACAGCGTGCCTTCACCTTCCTAATAATTTTCTCATAAGCAGAAGCAATGAGGTAGTTTGTAATTTTAATAAGTTTACAGAAATCAACTGCAGATTTCCTCGATTTGAAATGCATTACCGGATAATCATCTTTTTTTTTTTTTTAACTCAATACTATTTATTGGACTTAATGGACATTCGTCATCGGTTGTATAATTTTACTCCACAGCACTTTTTAATGAGCTCTTTTTTATTTTCTCTTTAATCGCATCCAAAATTACTACCTGTAAGGCAGTAATGTGTGACAGATACACCAGTACTGTACCATGAAATGAATTCATAAACTGTGTGCTGAACTGTGAACTGTACTATGAATGAACTTATAAACTGCGAACCGTGTAACAGAAAACCAAACAACGAACCACGTACTATAATCACTCCTCCCCCTCCTACCAACAAAACTCTAAAACGAAACACAGAAATATGTATATACATTTGTAAATAACTTATTGTATTTTATACATGCAACTGTAAAGTACCCATGTAAAGTATACTTTATGTCAATAATGTCTGTAATGCAAATTATGACCATTAATATGTAACTATTACGAATGCTACAATGTAAAAAAAATGCCATAAAAGCATGGCGTTAGTGTACCCCGTGAGGGTGCACTTCCACAGATAGTTAGTGCAGTGAGGCGATACCACTTTTGCCCATGGCGATGTTTGGGTGCCCCCTGTACTTGTTTCTTTCTGTCTACCTCCATAAAGCGGTTGAAATGCTCTGTGTTCCTTAAAACAAATATAGTTAGTTATTCATCATCTCCAACTGAAATTTGCTATACTATTCCTTGGCTAACTAGGTACTATTTCTCACCCGAAGTACTTCTACCATAATTTGCTTAAACCGGTTTTAGTGCAGCTCTGTGCACCTACAAGATCTAATAACGACTTGTCAATATATTTATACCAATTCAACGCCAATCCCTTGTTTTTAGCACAAAAAGCTCTTACAGCTCTTCCAAAAAAAAAAAAAAAAAAAAAAAAAAGCAACACTGATTCCGTAATTTCAAAGGTTACGTTTGGCTTCACTGTTACTCTAAATGCATCTAATAACCAGCAAAATCCCTCTAATTCTTCAGTACCTGGCCTGGAATCAATCCTTACTGGAGGCAACAGACTATTTTCCAGCATTTGCGGCCTCAACTACTCTTTGCACTATCAATCTTGTACTCTCGCAAGTAGTTACACCAAAAATTTAAAATTGAGGCATTATAATTTTAATTTCTGTTATCACTCAAGTTTTACGTTGGGTGCCACTATAACGCTTGAGAATTTTTTTTAGTTAACTGTTTAACTGTATTAAATACTGGCACCTCAAAAGTTACCTAAAAACTGTAGTGCGAGTTATGCCTTTTAGCTTAAACTGTGAAAGCAGTTAAGCTGACAAGAACAGTAAAATCTGCATTTTATCTCACTAATTATAATTTCAGAAATAGGATAATACAAAACCAAAATCTAAGTCAGTCTGAAACATACAGTTAGCTAGTAATAATATGAGTGTTCCTTTTCCTGACTACAAATTCACAAATTGAATCAGAAAATCAAATCCAAATTAAACATACTTATCAGTCTTGACTAATGTCCGGTAATATTCTCCGGAAGTGGCTTCTGATGCAAGGCAAAAGCGGCCAGTTTAAACTACGCCAATTGTCAAACCTATCTCCATAAACCTTCGATTGAGAGAATATGTAAGAAAATGAGGCATAATAGAAAGTAAAATTAACTTTTAATTGTTAGTTAAACTCAAAGGAAATGTCACAACTATCAAAGGAATGATAATTATAAAAATAATTTTAATTAATGATTGTAAATAAATTTAGTTTGATAGTTTCTGCAGATTTAAGTTTACGGTTGCATTTGTTACTAGCTCTTAAGTGAATAGAAGATAACAATATTTTGTATTTCTTTAATTTAGGAAAGTTTCAATTGTTCTCTTAGCTGTTATTTGCACTGTATTGGTCGAATCTGAATTTTGCGATAACGAAGACTGGTGCGAAAAATGTAAGAAATTTTTAACCATTTTCTTTGTGGAATTTTATTAAAAATTTAAAATCACGTTAATTTGATGCTCTGTAAATTTCTGTCTAGTTCTGTCTTTGTGAATATGTAAAGTGTCTACTCAAGAATGAACGTCCTGAAGTTAAACAAATAGTAGCTTAATTTGAAATACAATTCTGGTTCATAATCGAGTTAAAATGCAGTATATTCATACTATGATATAAGTAACTGTGCTTATGACATGTCCAGAGAAACTTCAGTTATCTGGCTCATGGTAATCGGGGCCCACCAGCGGCCGATGGGTAAAATCGCTGAACACTGATAGTTTGGTTCGAGGTTCGAATCCCGCGAACGGGCTGACTGCATGGGCGTTTTTGTGGTTTTCCCCTAGTGTAACGTGTATACGAGCCAGTTTCCCTTAAAAAGTCCTCTACAAAGGCATCCCTTCCCTTAGGCAGATAGCCCTAGTGTGCTTTGCCGTAATCTCAGTAAACCAAACCAAACCAACCATGGTATCCTTTAACCATGGTATTTTAAACTTTTCCTATACTGTCAAGCCAATTAAAATTAAACTTATAACAAAGGGATTCTGTTAAAGATAAAATATTAAACAACAACGAGGATTTATATAATTTGTGTAACGTGGTAAAATTGACAACAAAATTTCGAGCAAGTTGCAGATACGGAAGCAGGAACAAAAACATTGCCGCCATCTATTGACAAAAAATGAAAATAGTATCTGTAAAAACGGATGGTAAAGACGTTGGTGTTTCTGTTTCTCTTTGAACTGAACCAGAGTTACATCAGGTTCACGAATATGATCCAACCCAAGTGGTGAAGGTAGATGTTTCCTTTGGCTTAGATCTTGGGCACCCATAGGTAACAGTATGAGTTTCTAGCTTCTTTTGCAGAATTCTCAAAAGGTTGGATACGAGGATACATCTCTTCCCCTATAACTAGAATCTCGTCAGGGCTACTAAGGCTACTCATCCCACGTGCCATAAGGACGATCCCCATGTGTAACATGAATATGACCCAGTTTACTTAGAACGTCCTTCACAAAAGCCCCCCTTTTAGGCAGATAGCTCTCCAGTATTATGCCATAATCTAAATAATACAATTCAGTAGAGTTGAATGCAAAGGGGGTGAGGAAACGTACTTTAAAAACATGTGTAATTAAATTAAATTATTTGCATTAAAGTTAAAATTTGCAAATGACTAAATAGTCGCTCTGATTTCTGAAGTCCACAAAGTCCTTTTTTTCATAACCGTTGGTCGTACTTATATACTACTAATTTCAGGAATGCTTTACATGACGCTACGTTTTATGGTTTGGCTCTTCTAAATTTAAAAAACTGAATTTTATACCTTTTACGAAATCTAACCTTTTATACGCTTTCCGATCTTTATTCATATATTTAGAAAAAATTTGATCTCATTATAAAATATAAAACTTAAAAACCTGGAATTCCGTACGATAAAAATTGACAAACCTATTTAATTTCAAAATTTTCTCTCTTTAAAATCATATTAAATATGCATTGAGGGGTCGGTTCGAAAATGAATTAGAATAAATTATGGTTCATCTTTCCCCTCGCCCAGAAATGCTCTTCGTTGATAAAGTTCCGTGATTTACCGTGTCTTATAATTTTAGTATATTTGGTATGCTGAAAGAGTTTTCATAAGGGTAATTTTTAACTTTTCAAAGTCTAAAAATGATTAAATAATATTCTCATGAAGTTTATTTAGTTTAGCATTATAAACCAGCAATCCTAGAAAAATTCAGTTGATACAAATGTTTTTTTTTTTTTTTTTTTTAATTAACGCAAATAATATTATGAGTTGACTACGTGCCCGAACTGAAGTCTGTCAATATTTTTTAGAACACGAATTCTCTATGGTTCTGGGGAAAAAATATTCATTTTGGAAAAAAATACATTAATCAAGAATTTTCACAATAATCTACATAGAAATGCTTGTTGGGTAATTTCCCAAGATCATAAGCCATTTTCTAAACGATACATCATTTTTAGTTATGTAGAAGTGAAAACATTTCTGTATTCAATTCGTGTACGGCCTCTGAATACGATTCTCGATTTTAATATATTGTAAGGATTATGTTAATTTTATTAACAGTTAAATTTTGAGTTAAACTTCCTTTCCTATCGATGCTTAATTTCAACTTACCACTTCCAGCCAGAACGTACTTTCAAAATCACGTCTGAATGCTAATGAGGAAGAGCGGTATTTAACCGCGAAGTTCTACAGTCTTAGTGAGAGAAATACCAGATATTCTGGCGGCACGCGGCCGCCTTTTTAGGCTATTCTCTGGTAAGCTATTACGCTCGGTCGTATTTTGGGCCCTTGATAGCTTCGCAGTCAATTAGCGTTAAGAGGCCAACTCCGTTAGAATCTTAGTAGCTTTGGCTATATCTCTTTAGTTAAGATTAGTTTTAGTTTAATTCTTAGTTTCTTATGTTCAAGCCGAAGTGTCGACTTTCTTGTACACGCCAAGACGGATTTTTGTTAAACTTTAGTTGGAATAATAAAGGGTTAGTTTACCCTTCTATCTTGTTTCCTGTCACACGAACTCAAGCGATTATTTGCTTATTGATTCTTAAGATTCTTCACTTCCAACAGTAACTTAGAATTACACAGTGAAGAATCATACAATTTCTCAGTTATATACCTCTGGTATCTCGGTTAGTTTTTGTCGTACGGGAGCCAAACTTTGTGTGATTTATTTTTTATAACTACTGCAAAATTTTCCTAAGTATAGGCACCGGAAGAATGTTTCAATAGTTTAATTTCAAGATTTTGCACACTTGTTTTGAGTTGAAAATGTGAAAACATGAACAAACGTGAGACAACAAATCAACAAACGTGAGAATAAAGGCCCGTAAGAACATTCCTGGATTCCGCGTATAAAATAAAAGAATCACACATACATTATAACTGACAAACTGCACTAAAGGTACGTTATTAGCCCAAAGGGCGGTAGCCCAAAAGGATATTGGTCTCCAAACGGCATTTTGTGGCATTTCACTATAAACGCCGAATCACTTTTAAAATTGTTGCCTCCAGATATTATCGCCCTGTACCATCTTTAAGAATTTAAATAAAGAACAACCTGCATGACTATATGTATGTTTCTCACATTGTGAAAAAACAGCGGTACCTAAAGCCATCCAATTTTGAATAAAGTAGTCCTTCAACCGAATATGGGCACCTGGATGCCGAAATTTTGATTTGTTTTATTATCGATTTCATATTTTGTAACACTTCAATGAATTTTGATTAACAAACTCAACGATTTCAAAGCGAGCAATGGCAACACTGTACGGGAAAATAAAGCATTTTTATCTTCAGCGTGCCGGACTATCTATCGAAAATTCTAAAGATATGCTGCTGTTAAAAATTTTACTATTTTTTTATTTCAGATTTTGTAAAATTTTAACGAATTTTTGATTAATAATTCAACGATTTCAAAGCGAGCAATGGCAACACTGTATAGAAAAAAATTTATCTCCAGCAAGTGAGACTGTCTATCCAAAATTGTAAAGATAGGCTTTTTTTAAATATCCCCCCCCCAAAGGAACATTAGCCCAAATGCTCTCGAAACGTTTATGTGTATGTAAATGAAATAACGCCGCTTTTGGCGTAATATAAAATCTCAAAGCTTTCAGATTTTTTAAAATTTTTTTATTGTTCTTTTTGCAGCATGCTGCAAGTCTTGGTTCCACTATAGATGTTGTCCGTACGCAGATGGTGTTTGTTGTCCTGGCGGATTCCAGTGTTGCCCAAGTGGAAATCGATGTATTATGCTCGGAACACACAATTTTTGCTCTCAGAGAGCTCTAACGGGAGCGAATGGAAAGCAAGAAATAGCCATGGAATCTAGTGCTTTCACAAAAACAAAAGCAGAACTGCGTGAGGGGAATCCAGATAAGCTATTATAATTGCATTTCGAATAATGAGTAATTTCATTTTTCTGGGATATGATTTAATGCAACACTTAATTGTGGGAATGTAGAAACATTAATATTATGTTATACAAAGGAATGAACTGTAACTTGTTATGTTGACATACCTCAATAATGTGATATCTCAGAATGCGAATAGTATAAATTTGAGCAATGTTGTATTTTATATTAATTTCGATGCTTCTTAGACTATTATTGAATAAGGAAAATAATTCAGAAATAATTATTTGGGAAGTAATCAGCAAAATGTAAATTATACGTAAATAATTATATTTTTTTAATTACTTGTAATTATACTTGACTTGATTGAATAAAAGGTGATGCTTAAAATGATAATTTGACTTTACTTTTTTACTTTTAATCTTATTAAAAGAGTTTTTAAGCGAAAGCGAAAAATATGCATCATAAAATGTTTCTAGATGCTCCGGTAGATATAATAATTTTTACAAATCGAAATAAAATTATTCATTAAAAATTAATTAAAAAGAGTTTTTAAGATCATATATTATAGTAAATATTTATCAGCTCGGCCCATATGAAATATTCAGAAGTATGAAACTCGAACGCATGTAATTCATAGGAAAATTCTTTAGTCTATATAATGCAGTCAATTTAATCTAACCATTAAACATAGCTTTATTTATCTAACCAATAAACATAACTACCATTAAACATAGCTAAATTTTAGCTTCTTTATTAAGCATTATTTTGTTTGTAGTTACATCATTTGCCATTTAACTACAAAATTGCAAAGATTTTAAAAGCAGCATAGCAGTACACGTTTAGAATCCCGATGCAGACTTCAGTGCTGGCATACATTTTTCTGTCTTTTCTCAGATCATCCCATCAATGTTCAATTTTCTTACTAAGATGCCTTTACAGAACTTTATTTGTCCTTACATTATTAACGCTTTGTGTATATCACGTTCTTGGCGTTTACGCCATATAAAATTTGATTCATCAACAGAACCACAAAATATACAAATAACATATCTTTAGAATTTCCGATAGATAGTCTCGCGCGCTGAAATAAAAATGTTATTTTTTTCTGTGTTCGCTTTTAAATCGTTAAATAATTAATCAAATATTCGTTTAAGTTTAAAAAAAATATGAAACAAATAATAAAAAAAAATAGAAATTCAAAATTTGAGCTTCCAGGTGCCTACGTACTGTTTTTTACTTCCTTGTACGAAGTAAAAAGGAAGTTCGTAATCGCGAAAAGTTTCAGGCAGCATATTTCAACGAAAATATCCATTTTCACCGCTATCGAATGCAATTTAACGAAGTTTTTGCGTGATATCTGTACGTAAGGACAGAAAAAAAATATTGCTTTCCTTCAAAAAAATTATAAAACTGCTTTAAAATGAATTCTGAAGAGAATTTTTCGTGGCGTCTGTACGAACGTATGTACGTACGTGCGTACGTACGTATCTCTCGCATAACTCAAAAACAAGTAGCCTCAGAACGTTGAAATTTTGTAAATAGGACTGCTATAACATGTAGATGTGCATCTCGTATTTTGGTTGCAATCGGCCGCACCAAACGTATATAAATATATTTATATATATATCCACTCTGTTACCCGGCTCAGTGATCTCAGTTTCTTTACTCTTACATGTTTGTAAATTGTACATTTTTTGCTTTAAAAATGATTGTATTATGTTGTTTTTAATCTTCCGGTTAAGGTTTTTATGCCTTTAGTAAATCTTTATGCAATAATTTTAGAATTATCAACAATTTTAAAGTTGTGTAAGTGCCGCTAAGCCTTTTTTTTTTTATGGCGGCCATTGATGTTTACATTTGAAACAGGAGACTAGTGGATTTGTTGCCAATCTAGAGAAACTTAGCTTCGCAACAAAAAAGATAACGCATTCATTTATTATTGCCAATTAAATCATGCTTAATTCTTTCTGGAATTTTTTCGAGGAAATAAGTGTTTAAGATTTACTTCGTAATTTTTAATATAGATATTTTGAGTATGTATTTTTGCCTTCTCGCGAAGTGAGAACTGAATGAATTAAATGAGAAATACTCAATCGTCTGTGAAAAACTGCTTCTTTTTTATTTTGTTTGCTTAATTTCTTTTATACATCATTCTAGCTTTATTATAGTATTTGAATAGAACATATGGCAACGATTAGATAATTTTATTCTTTAAATGATATAAATTTTGAGCATTATGAGTTATAATATAAACGAAATATATAAGTTAACTGTTATATAATTATTGGAATATATAACAGTTAACTTAGTTTCCGTTATATAATTATTATATAAGTTAACTGCTATATAATTATTAATACTGTTAAGTGAATCTAGCGCCAGAGTGTCGCTATGGTAAACAAATACTAGAGTGAATTTTAAAGAATGTATTTATTCGATTGTGGTTTATGCGCTGTCGGCGAAGTAGATTTAATTCAATCCAATATGTTTAAGTGAAATGCAAGAAAAAATGCGTATAATTTAATATTCCGTACAAGGAAGTCATGTGGTGTACACATCAGATTTTGTTTCACAGTACGAGAAACAGGCATACGTTCGTGCAGATTTTTCATTATTTAATTTCGTTAAATATAAAACAGGACGATAATTTTAGAATTTCCATAGGCAGTTTCTCGCGCTGAATATAAAAATGTTTTATTTTTCCATATTGCTCACTTTGAAATCGTTGAGTTTGTTAATCAAAAATTCGTTAAAGGTTTATGATGATGAAAATATTATGATGAAAATATGAAATAGATAATAAAACAAATTCGAAATTCAAAATTTCCGCTTCCAGATAAAAACGAAACAGGACGATAATATTTAGTGGTAGCAATTTGAACAGCGGTACGCTGTTTATATTGAATCAACGCAAAATGCCATTTTGAGACTAATATCACATTCGGGACTGACGTCCGTACTTTAGTAGAGAAGAATAAACAATGTAAATGATGAGGGAGATGTTATTTTTGAGTTCGCAATCTACTTCCGTAAAAGCATCAGGTAATTAACTACTTTTAGGAGACATATTCTTTTATCTTTTTTTTTTTTTTTTTTTTTTTTTTTTTTTTTTTTGTCTGCAAGTGTCACCTTTGCTTCATAAAAAATTTTTCAAATGTGGTTTATTGTTGTCTAGCGTTTTAAAATGTAATTAAAAGTTACTGTTACTTCAAATGTTACAGTTATTTTTAATGTCACTGAAAGTGCTTATAAGCATGATATCGTTTCGTTAAAACTCTGCATTTTGCTCACATTTTCCAAATCAGAGACCTAGAATCCTTTTCCTTCTTCTTTTCCTGGGGGCATCTCATCCTCAGTCTCCTTTTGTTGCTACTTCTGATGTTATAATTCTTTCTTGATGAGCTCATTTATAATCATCTGGTAATATTGATAGCTTCCTAGTTCATGCTTTTGTTTACAGACACATTATCACATAACAAAAATCTTCCTAGAGATCGAAGCGCTCGAACGCTGTGCCTGCAACATAGTCTGGACATAATTTCATCCAATTTTCATCCTCGGGACTCGGGATTTTTGTTTTATTTATTTTTATTTTTGTAAGGATTGTGTAATTTTATTAACAGTTAAAATTTAATTGTTAATTAAAGTTCCTTTCCTGTCGATTCTTAACTTCAACTTACTACTTCCGGCCAGAACGTAGTTTTAGAATCACATCTGAATACATAATGAGGAAGAGTGGTATTTAACCACGAAGTTCTTCTGTTTTAGCTAGAGAGTTGCGAGGTATTATGTCTGCACGCGTCCGCCTTTTTAGGCTACTCTCTCGTAAGCTATTATTACGCTCGGCCGTACTTAGGCCCTGATAGCTTCGCAGTCAATTAGTGCTAAAGAGCCAACTCGGTTAGAATCTTGATAGCTTCGTCTATATCTCTTTAGTTTAGATTAGTTTTAGTTTACCTTTTAGCTTCTTAAGTTGAAGCCCAAGTGTCGACTTTTATTGTACACTCCAAGATGGAATTCTGTTGAATCTTATTTGAATAATAAAGGGTTGTTTACCCTTCCATCTTGTTGCTTCTTGTCACACGAACTCAAGCGATTATTCTCTTATCAGTTCTTAAGATTCTTCATGTTCAACTGTAACTTAGCATGTACAAAGTGAGGAACTCTTCGATATAATTTTGCTAAAATTATTAACATATATACAAAATTCGTAACAATATGCTAAAAACTGATTTCCAAGAGGATAAGAGGTGATCTGCAGTGTTCTCTAATTCATGAAAAAGGTCCTCTTTTGAAAACGTTTGAGAAACGCTGACATAATGTATCTGTATCAAAATCCCTACCCAATTATGTAGCGATTTTTTAAAGGCACTACACTTTCATTTATGATCTCTACATATGCAATCAATACTTTTATAAATATATCAAAATCTACTATTAGTTTATTTTCCTATAGCGATGCGTTAAAAATTAAAATTTTCTTGCTCTGCAGCAGCCCAAATTTCCATTACAATTTGTAAAGGACAAAGCAACTGATTCTTGAAGGTCATTTCGATAACCGACGGAGGCACACACGCAATACTCTTTCTTTCAATCATAATAAGAATTGAAAAGCGTTGCGTGTGTGAGGAGTACCAATAAGCATAGGCTATTAAAAATTCAATTCCGGAAACTTGGGAAAGAGTTATGTGCTTCCCATTCAAAGAGAGACTTTTCTCTTGGTAAATGTGATTAAATGACAGTGGAATTTTTTTGAAACACTTTCTGTATTCAGAAGCCTGAATTTCAGAATCCTGAAACACATTTTCATTGCTTTCGCATCTCAAATACAAGTATATTTGTTTGCGGATTAGAAGATTCAGTTGTCCGTTATACCTTTTATTGTTCACTTACAACTGCCACTCACTTACATCAACTGACTTGCTGTATGGATTCTTGTAAGAAATTTAGTATCGAAAACCATGCGTTAGTTAAGATTATCCACGGTGCCATCAGCACTATTTCGAAAATGGGCAAGAATTTAAAAAAACAGAGTGAAGACGCCAGTAAAGTTTAAAAGTGATAATTATAACAGACTAGTGCTAAAGAACTATCCAAATCAAATTCTAAGAACTGACACAGACATATAGCTATTAAACATAGAAATTAAAATTTTGACTTGAAAATTACTTGACTTGAAATTTTGACTTAATAGAAATTAAAATTTTGTTGTAATAATTATAAAATGTGCTTTAAAACATAATTTTAATTATTTAGCGATAAATTTACTGATAGATGCATAAGTGAAAGACCTGTTTGCATTGAATACTTGAAATGATACAGAGTTTGGTCTTCTTAGGTAGCATGAACTAGACTAAATCTCTAGAAGAAGATCTGTTAATTTTTACTATGCC